ATTTCCTAAAGCAGATTCGAGTGAATGAAAACTGGCTGTGTTGGTGTTAGATTAGATTAGATTAGATTAGAAGCAGATTCGAGTGAATGAAATATTGAACGCGACTAATTAAAAAGATAAATTCACGTAGAGGTTGATCAATTCATCGTATTAATCGTATCCAACGCCAGATACCTTGACGCCGATGCTTTCCAGCATAACGTCGGGGACAACCGCAGCTGCTCTTTATCGGAGTTCATCAGTTATTTAATCCTTCCACAGCAAAAAATAAATTTTAATGTTACATCCAAGAGGATGCACTTCAATCATGTCGAAAATCTCATGTAATTTTTATGGCCACACAAATGAACAATTGCAGTAAAAGCAACGTAATGTCAGCTCATGCACTGTATTAATGATAATTTTGCCCTTTTTGGCAAGTAATATTACATCATATTTTCGACACAATTGAAGTGCATCCACTTTGATGTGATATTAAAATTAATTTTTTGCTGTGTCGTGTAAACCGGTTTGAACACTTGTAATTTTGGTTTTGCAACTCCAACTGTTGTGTTTTCTACTCTTATTGTGTATAACAATATTGGTATACACTGAACGAATTTTGCTCCATTATTCGAACTTGGTATACTTTTGCGGTGAAACTTAATCAGATCAATGTATAAATGTTTGTAACTGTAAATTGATAACATTTCAATCTATCCATGTATAGTAAAATTTCGTCGATTTTTTTTTCATTTTACAATCATAATGAAATGATCATCATCTATGATTGCCGGATAGCGAATTTTACCTATTAAAGTTGTAACCGTTTAGTTATAATGTCCTAGGTTTTAATTTGCGCATTTTGTTTTAGGAAACTGTAGTGTTTTTTTTAGTGTCAGTGTTGGGTTAGTAGGATTAGTAGGATTGTTGGTAAAATTGCTGTAATTGAAAAATGTATAAATTTGCGTTTGTAGGCAGTTTGAAATTGATATTTGTTTATAAACTTAATTGGGTGTGACAGGATCGAAAGGGTGTTATGATCAACTGTGGTAGAAAAACTCAATAGTCGAAGGAGATGACATGGATGGTTGGTGATAAGCTACAAGGAATGAAAATGGAGGAAATAAGGAACGAATGAATCATATCATTCGAGCAGTTGAAAATGACGTTTCCTACCACTCGAACTTTAACATGGAACAATATTTTGATATTTTTTCTTCTAAAAGCTCGAGAAAATAGGATCTTATTTGTAATATGCTTGAAAAATCTGGAATTTATTGTTTCATTTCCGTAAAATCGCTGGTAGAAGGTCGTCTCAAAGCTGCTCGACAATATGATTAATTGAAAACTGGATGCGAAAAGGAGGGCTTTTGATAGCTGGGATGGTCAACCATTGCCCAGAAGTAAACCGGCGTTTGACAAAAATCAAATGACAAATGGCACCTAGAAGACGTGAGTGGAGTACAAAAGTGAACCGAAGGCAGTGAACGACCTTTTTATGTTCCTGGTGTTCATTCAGGTAACTGAATTTGACCAAATATGATTTTGGCTTGGTTTTAAACAACCAGTTGTCCTTCAGGATCTCTTTGATTTATTCCACGGATATCCTCACGATCGGCACTTTTCGACCAAGTCAGTCTCAACTGTCTTGGTCTAAATGTCAAGGATCTTCCACTCTCCGGCTTAATAATTGCCAGAAAGGAGAGCATCCTCGGACTCGGAAGTCATAATTGTTAAGAAGGAAGACCCTTCTCGGCTCGACCATGGTGACCTTGTCACGGTCAGCTGATAATCGCCAACGAAGGGAGACGCCGTTGACATCGAAAAGGTTACTTCGGTAGCTGCACAGGGATTGCTACATTCCCTGGTTGCGAACCGCCAAGGCAACGCGCGACCAGTTGAAGACAACGATCCGCCATTGTCGACGGAGTGATCAAGCCACGGACCGCCATCGCGGTCAAACAACAGCTGCTCAATACAATCACCACCAGCGAGCGCTCGCCATCGTCCAGCAAACACCACCGGTACGTACCAGAGAAGCAGAAACCCATAGAACACCATAATAGCCCAATAAGACCATCCGCACCATAATTCCATTTGAATAAATTTCTAGACTTTTTCCACCCACACTTTAGCTTTCAATTAATTTCACCATCATTTAAGAAATCCCACAGTTTCTGCACAGTTTGTTCCGCGTACCCCTCCGAATTACCCAGTAGTATGCCGGCTAGACTGATGCAAAATTTGACTTTTTCGCTCCACAGTGCTCAAACGGTTCCAAATCGGGTCCTGATTAGCCTCCCAAAGTTACAACTCATTTGGTTAGAAACAGACTGCGCACAAGCCATTTGAAGTTTGCATGTAAAATACTATGGGAAATCTCCCCTTTTTGTTCATAGCCTTCTAGTCTTTTTCTATATTGAGCTGCGAAACAGTTCGATAGCCATTCTTATAGAAAATTTTCTCAGCTGAAGATCGTTTCTATGTAAAACGAGACAGGAAAAATTTATTAATTATTTAAGAGATTGGTAAACTTATGACATGATCAAGCAGCAGCTCTGTAGGCAACACTGTATTTTGCAGTGTGACATAGTAGCCATGATTTTTGTGTCCTATTCAACGCCCCAGAAACACCAATGTTGCCTGCTGAGCAGTTGATTGAGCATGATCATAAGACATCAGCGCATTGGACCATTGATAACTTTCGATACTTGCATTTAATCAAAAAGGGGTCTTTTGAAGCAGACCGATATGGTGAACTATTAGATAGACATGCATAAAAATCTTGGTTTTATCATAATAATTCCCATACAAACTTCAAATGGTTTGTGCCAGCTCAGTTTCTCGCCAAATGGGTTCAAATTGTGAGAGGTTAGTCAGGATCCGATTTGAAATCGTTTAAGTATTGTGGAGCGAAAATTTCAAATTCATCACTCTAATGCCGGCCCTGTGACGCAGTTCAGGGGTCTCATGCTACAGAGCTAGTTATCCGGGAGTCTTGATTGAGCCACTAGGTTGAGTCTCATCTAGTCTCAAAGTGGTGCCAGCCAGCTGGATGTATTTTAAAGGCATTATACCGTGGACACCAGTTAATCTGAACAACACTTCATGTATGCTAACGGAGTTCATTTTTAATTTGAACTTCTATTAACTCTTCGACCACAAGAAAAGCGAGTCGCTTGTTGCCTTATATGCTGTTTTGTTTTGATTCTGCGTTCCGTTTTTTCATTATATATGCTAAATGACGTTTGAGCAACTTTTAGTTTGCACGCAGATTAGCGGGGTTCAAATTAAAGTACAGATTAAAAAGGGGTAGATTACCGGGAGTTCACAGTAATGTACTTGGAGTCACTCGAAATGGTTACCACAAAAAAATCCAACAGGTGCTGTTAAACAAATTCCAACCATCAAGACTAACACCAAGGTTTACGTCCGTTAAACAGATTCGCTCGAAAGATACATTTTTAGGATCAACATTTAACAATTTATTATTAAATTAAATTCTAAAGTCATAACACAAGTGTAGCTGTCCACATTTATTCGTGCCAATGAAAAAATACGATTAATTCATCGCAATAATCACTAATGACTGTAAACATCCTCAACAAAGAAAACTTAATTATCAAAATAAACGGGTCTGAGGGGAAGCAGCAGAAGCATATTTCTACCATTTGACTTGCTATTGTTCAGTTTTGTACTTGATAACCATTTTAACGCTTTTTCCGAACTTTACTAAATATCGACTCATTCAAACAATTGTAATCAAATAATGAGAAAGTCGGAACGAGTTCTCATTTTTGCTCTGGAAAAAAAGGCGCCAATTTGTGAGTGGTGTTGAGAGCATATAAACAAAGGCACAGATACTCCAAGTTGGGATACTTGTACTGGTTAATCAAAACATCAATCGCTTCCCACTTACATGCATTAGGGACCGAGAGGGCTCGAGATGTAAGCTCATTTCTCAAATCTGATACTCAAGAAGTGCTCTTAACAATCCATGAGTGACGCTGTTTCCGTCCAATTTCCGAATGGAGCAAAGTTTCTGCGAATTCGGCAGCATACAACAGGAACGAAAATGAACAGATGGAGATTAATGTTTGTGTGGTAGACTACACCCAACCGGGAAATGTAAGATTCTCTTACAATTTTGTCTTAAAATATGAAGAATTTGTGATAAATGAAAGCATATGAACAAAACTGTACGTAGTCGTTGGAAGGGTTTCCCAAGTATATTATAGAATCAATGCTATTTTATGAATAAAGTTTACATCCATCAATGCATTCAACCTATCCTAATTACCTTTAGATGCTTTTGAACGAACATATTGATTAAGGTAAGATATTACTTGTTCCCAACAGTCTGTTGTAAAAACTACCACAAAATTTCTCACAGGAAAATGCATTTGCATTTTGTTTTGCGTGTACAACTCATTGAAATTACGCTTTAGCTTTAAACATTAAAGCTACCAACGAGGGTTGGGAAACAAGGAGTATTGATTTGTTGTCTGAACAAATCAATCCTACGCGGGAAACTAGATGAGCGGGGTCCATTGGTTGAACAACTAATTCTATGAGTCATATAATAAATCCTCCTTTGCTTAATGTTCAACCGGTGATGGAAGGAAAGTTTTTGTGGCCTTGTAGGCATTTCCAGCAGTCTGCTCATTGCCAAATAAAATTGAGGATAATTTCTCAACTATAAACGCATGTTTTAATTCGAATTTCATACACGATTTATCCCCCACGAACTGGACGTTTTGTATGAATTGCACTCCAAATCAATTGCAAGGTCAACGACATTACCCTGATTGGAACAGCGATGCCTTGTTGCTTCACTTTATTTTGTAATATTACCAGTAGCACCGGGAAACATGCATCAACTATCTTAGACCGTGGTGTGTACATTCAAACACGACAGCGCCTCCCGTTATTGCCGCAAAGCCTCTAGTGTCGCATTACATTTAATTAATTAGTCCCAATTCAATTTGTCTTATCTATCATAACAACGTATGGCGAAGCCCGAGCAGCTCCAGCTGGTTGCCAAAATGCGCCCCACAAGTGAAGAGTTCCTGGAGATATTCCAAATTGACGTCACGTTCGTCAAGGAAGCGGCCCTATACTCGCAGATAGTTCCAGCCATGATCAAGTTACAACGGGAGATGGAATTTCCGGAAGACGAAACCGTTGACCTGTTTTGTCGGTGCTACAATACGAGGGTTTCGTTGGATCCGAGCTGCAGCAAGGTGGATGCCGATGGGGTGATGTTGCTGGAGAATCTCAAACTGGCCGGGTATATCACCGAAGACAGGAGGATGGGATTCAACCGAGAGTTGGCCGAGTTCATACTTAGGGTTTGTTTTTGCCAGATATGGAAATTCACACCAGCAGCGAACGATGTTTGCTCAATACTAACATTTATGTTATTTCAGAAACTTGCCCTGTTCCATGCCATTCCGATAGCTTTGCGTTTCCTGAAACCGGAGGTGTTTGAGTCGAGCATACAGAAGTACCTAGTGAAAATAGACATAGATGCGAGCCTGAACGAGCAAACCATCCGACGCATGATAAACGTCTTTGGCGCTGATTTGGTTAAGGCTGGTGTGAGAGAGCCTTTGATAAAGCGGATACTGGAACTGATTGACGATTGTCGCACCCGCCAGGCGAATCTGATATCGGACGAAACCACCCAGTACTGTTCGATGCTGCACAATGATTTGTGGGTTAACAATATGATGATAAAATATGGTAAAGCATGAATCACTCCACCGCCACACGGGCTTTTTCACTAAAGAATACTATTTATTACAGATGATGTCAAAGGGAAACCAATGGGGCTAAAATTTGTGGATTTCCAACTTATTCAGTTGGACTCACTCGTGCGGGATATTTTGTTTTTCCTCCTCACCAGCGTTTCGGATCCGGATCTGGACAGCAACATGGACGATTACTTTAAGGTTTACTTCGAAGGCTTACGGATAGATTTGGCCAGACTCAAATGTCCCAATTTAAGTCAATTCACTTATCAAAGGTAATTGGTCCTGATGGAGTTGCAGGGCAGCATATTTCATTGACTTTTCCACAGTTTTTCGGAGGAAATCAATCGAATCGCACCGCGGGAGCTGTACCACATCGTATTTATGCTGCGGGTGGTGCTGGCCAAAAAGGAATCCATTCCCGAGCACAGCGAACTGGTCGCGGAGCTATTTTGCAATGATAATCTCGTCGAGGAGGACTACTTTCGTAAGCTGTTGTCAGTGGTGCAGATTTACGACAAGAAAGGATGGGTTTAATCTAGTCACAGTTGGTGCTATCCGAGATAGACAAACTATAAAAAAAAATACCAAATGGATGGATGTACAAATACAGTGATATAAACCAAAGATATCGAATGGAAGAGATGGTGGTCAGTGTGAAATGAAATAAAGTTTTAAATGTGAAGACGCCGTGGAATGCGATAATAAAAATACTTTATGGTGTGATTGAAATTCCCCGAGAGATATGACATTCTTCAAAGGGGTGATTTTGCTTTGTTTTATTTATGATTTGGGATTTTCTTCCGGCTGACATCTGGTGCCACTGCACAACTCAGTCGATAATTTGACGTGACGAATTGATTTGAACAAGTTACAGCCTAGTGCTGGTCGGTTGAAGCGCGGTGTAGTAAAACCGGAGGCGGTGGGTTCGATTCCAAATTGTTTTTATGATGGACGATTAGGCCAAAACGCCATTAGGTCTAACGCTATAATGCCGGTCGAAATAAGACTGAAGTCAATTGACAGTGTTCGGCAAAACATTCTCAAATCTCATTAATTGCACAGTTGAATTTAGCAAGGCAAAACTCAAACGCGAATAAACTCGCATTAGATTTGAGTTTTTGAGTTTTTCTGAACACTAGGTCTATTAGGTCAAATGAGTAATTTTACCGCAATTGAATCTTCTGACAAACTGTATAAATATCTTTCAAGTTTTCCGGATTATTAAAATTTTCCCGGGTGAGCTAAATTCATTTTAATCAAGCATAAAACCAAATGCCATGAAGCCGAAAGGATCGGTAGGTTAGATGAGTCATTACCAAGCTAGTAAAATTTGTCTATGTAGTAACTACCTTGAAAACTCGTTTACTTATTCACAGACATTTAAAAAAATATTTTTATGAATTATCTTAAAAAATCAGTACCCTTCACAAAGTTCTTTTCAAAACTAATTTGAGCACCGTTCGGAGATTCACTTTGTAATTTTCTTTATAACAGTTGTTCCGAAAGAATCTACGCTCTGGAAAATAATAAAATTTAAATTAAGTATAAAATACAACCACACTATACAATTATACCCACCTGATATTTCTCTACCTTGAATTGTAACCACACATTCATACGCACTCACTCTTATGTACACTCGTTATCATACATTCTCATCCCTGCACAATGTATACGAGAGATCGAAATATACTTTAGTTACTATCAGACCAGCAAAGCCATCGTACGTTTTCTACGCTAGTCCGAAAAAATATCACCGTCGCAAATTTTAATATCGGTGTGACCTGCCGGTGGGCAAGTAGTTTCCCGAACAACATTATTGGTACCGAAACCCGGGAGTTGTGGTCCCGGATCGTCGTGTCGGTGGCGCATAGGACCGTGTCCGCGAGTGTACCACGCTTATCATCGCGTTTTCGTGTCGTCCACGACCACGATGGAAAATGAACAGGTGGGCAGGAACTCACAGTCTCCCAGTGTTGGTGAGTTCTTTGCCGTTAATGTTCACGAAAAGTTCACTATTTTGCTATACAGAAATTCAAAACAAAAATTTTATCTGCGGATTTGAACAGTTTTTGACCTGTTTCATACTACCGGAAGGTGTATGCTGGTCACAAATGCCGTGCCAAACTGATTTCCTACTCAATTAATCAATCTTTGATGTGAAATTCGCTAATAAACACGAGGCGCATTTCGTATAGCAAACATGCCATAACAAAATGGGCATGGTTCATTTAAGTAAACAAACTAACACTTCTTCCGACTGTTACACCTATGTATTAGCCGTCTCGGTCCACGACGGCAAGGTGTATTCTATTCAGCACCTATTGTTTGGCCCAAAAGCAACCACGTTGTTAATTGTGTGTCGCCAATCGAGAACGATCGAGAAGAAACCATTGTGACCATACAATAGTGAGGCAACAACCACGTTGCTTAGTGATTTTGACTTCCCACGGACGGAGTGCTAATTGTCGTACGAAGAGGATCATTCACTGCCAGGGTGGTGAAAATAAAGTTCCGCTTCTGGTTGAAAATTCACGTCCCGCTGGGTGGATCTGGACTTTTCTGCGGTGGCTGTAATTACGTGGAACTGGTGGTGCACGTCCGAATACGGACGCCATCGGTGTTTCCAACCTACAACTGCTGTCGATCGCACTGGTGTATGCTCATTGCTTACCGGTGGATATCGTCGTTATCGTCGCCATCATCATCTTTGCCCACGGCACGTAAAAAACCGTCATAAGGTAACAATTTTCCATTTTTTGTTGGGGAATCATGGCGCCGACCAAGAAATTTAGTAAGGCGGCTAAGTTAAAGACGCTTTACCGCCGTCGTTCGAACATTGTAAATTCGGCGGAGGTTATCCAGGCCTTTGACGATGAGTATGTCCCGGATCAAGCTAACCAACTGCCAATAAGAATTCAGCATTTGGATGAAATGTGGCGGGATTTCCAAGCGATTCAAGACCACATCGAAGACTTAGATGAGCCGGATGAGGAATTTAGTGAAGATAGGCGAGAATTCCAGAATCTTTACTACGCTTTGAAGGCGTCCCTAGTAAGCAAGGTTCCTCCATCTCCTCACCCGTTACTACCACCGGCAGTTAGAAACCCCCAACCCCCACAGTCGGTGTCAAATCTCCGTCTCCCTGAAGTAAAGCTTAAGGAGTTTTCTGGAAATTTCGACGAGTGGGCATCTTTTAGCGATCTTTTTACCTCGCTGATCGATTCAAACCCGCAGCTGACCATGGTACAGAAGCTGTACTATCTGCGAGCTTCAGTTACTGGCGAAGCTGCCCGCATGATTTCCTCCCTCGATATTATCGCTAACAATTATCCGGTTGCATGGAACTTGTTGAAAAACCGGTTTGACAATAAGCACATGCTGACAAAAAGGCATATGGCTAGCTTGCTTTCTATTTCCCCCCTAAAGAAGGAAACAGCGACCGGCCTGGTGGATTTGGTAGATAAGTTCAACCGCCATGTCCAGCTTTTGGATAAACTCGAGGACGTCGAAGAGCACTGGAATTCGTTCTTGGTCGAACGGTTGAGTAGCTGTCTCGATCCCACATCACTCCGTGAATGGGAGACTCAATCGGCGGGGGACGATAGGCAGACATACAAACAAATCCTCGAATTCATCCAAAAGAGATCACGCATCTTGCAAACCCTACAGCTCTCCCAACTAAGCAGCAGTTTTCAAATCGAAAGCAAGCCTAAGCCTCGTGTGTCTTCGGCTCACGTGAGCACTTCGAGCAGTGCAAGGTGCATCTGTTGCCAGCAACCACACTTACTTTTCCTGTGTGACAAGTTCCAAAAGCTCACACCACACGAACGGTTCGATCTAGCCAAGAAGCATAGCCTCTGCATCAATTGCCTGAAAGGGGTTCATTTGGCGAAAGACTGCTCCAGCGGTGCATGTAAAACATGCGCGAAAAAACACCACACGCTTTTGCATCTGCCACCGCTAACAACGTCTACAGGCGGATCTGGCGGCCGTCAGTCGCTGCCGGTACAACAAAGCTCTTTCGCGGAATCGAACCGTTTACAAAATAGTCCACTGTCACGACTCGGTTCGGTACATAGCTCTCGGTCGGTTGAGCTTTCGAATGCCTCTCCACTCGTGTCGTCGTTTAGCGAATTGTCGTCCTCTCTCGTTTACGAACCTCCCTCGTCGTCGGTAGTATCGTCCGCCTCAAATTTGCCTCCTACTGCCTGTCAAAGTGCTGAGTCAATCCAGCGGCGAAATCCCAACACCGTGCTACTTTCTACCGCTGTGATTAAGGTCCTGGATGCGGACAATAAATACCAGTACGCTCGTGCACTCTTGGATAGTGGATCCCAGCCCAGCTTCATCTCGGAAGCACTGTGCCAGAGACTCAACTTGAAGCGGACGAAGCTCAACTCTCCGGTCATTGGTATCGGACAGTCTTTGGTCAACGTACACTACGGCGTAACTATGTCGATTGCCTCTCGTTTTGGCATCTTCATATCGAGTCTCGAATGTTTGGTCTTACCAAAACTTACGGTTGCTCTTCCTAGTTGCAACATCGATGTTACACGCTGGCGGATTCCACGGCATCTTCAACTTGCGGATCCGCAGTTCAACGTCAGCCAAGGGGTGGATGTAATCATCGGCGCTGAGCTTTTCTATTCTCTTCTGGAAAATCAGCAGATTAGTCTCGGTACGGATTATCCAATCCTTCAAAAAACCGTTTTTGGTTTCGTCATCTGCGGCAAGGTCACGGAACAATCCGCCACTGGAGTCGTCGTGCAGTCCAGCCATCTCTGCACCGACGAGTCGCTTGATTCTCAGTTGGAAAGGTTCTGGGAGATTGAGAATCTTGACAAGGAAAAATCATTCACTCCGGACGAGCAGTTCTGTGAGCAACATTTCCAGAAAACTGTCTCAAGGGACAAGGATGGTCGTTACATAGTTCGTCTGCCGTTGCGGGAAGAGCTGGTGCCCCTTATGGGTGATTCATACACTCCTGCACTTCGTCGATTACTGTCGATGGAGAAGAAGTTTGCTGTTGACAAGAGCTTTCATCTCGAATACGGCAAATTAATGGAGGAGTACCAACAGCTGGGCCACATGGAGGTAAATTCGCACGCGTTGTCCGGCCCACAGTTTTTCCTTCCCCACCATGCTATTCACCGCCCAGAAAGTACAACAACGAAGACTCGAGTAGTATTCGATGGATCCAGCCATGATGCCAATGGCTTGTCAATCAACGAAGTCTTGGTCATCGGACCCACGGTGCAACCACCGCTGCAAGCCACTGTCATCAACTTTCGGGTGCCACGCTTTGTCTTCACCGCTGATGCACAGAAGATGTTTCAGCAGATCTGGATGCATTCGGATGACCGCAGATTTCAGCAAACTCTGTGGCGAAATGATCGATCGGAGCCGATTCGGGTTTACCATACCCTCTTGCAGTGCCAGTCATTCGAAAGGGAATCTACGTCGACGATGTACTGACTGGGCACGATGATCTACACACCCTCCAGGAATCGTGTGTACAGCTCTTATCCTTGCTTGGAGGTGCAAGGTTTGTGTTGCGGAAATGGGCAGCTAACGACAGCGCAGTTGTAAGGAACATTCCTTCCGAGCGATGGGAAACCTCCAGCAAGCTAGAAATCGATCGTTCAACTGCTGTCAAGACGCTAGGCCTTCTGTGGTTTCCTGAATCCGACAAGTTCATGTTCAAGATACCTGCTCAAGGAAGCAGGTCGTTATTACTAAGAGGGTAGTTGTGTCTGAGATGTCTCGGTTGTTTGATCCCATCGGCCTTCTCGGGCCTGTAGTACTGAATGCTAAAATGTTCGTACAAACTCTCTGGGCTGAACATTTGCCATGGGATACGGAGCTATCTAATGACTTGCAAGATTGGTGGATGACCTATCGAACTGACATCCAGCAATTATCCACTCTAGAAATTCCGCGAAGGGTTCTGGCTAACACTTCTCGTCAGTACACTCTCCACTGCTTCTGTGACGCTTCCATGAAGGGTTAAGAGATGAACTAGCCTCAGGCTAAAAATCTCTAAAATAAAGATTTAAAAAAAAAAAAAAAAGCTTCCATGAAGGGTTACGGGTGTTGCGTCTACATCGTGTCACCAGACGAAACAGGAGAGCTCCACAGTTACCTTCTGACCTCAAAATCTCGCGTCGCACCGTTGCGTGGTCAATCCATTCCACGCCTGGAACTTTGCGCTGAGCTACTTAGTAGTCAGCTCATCGATACGCTGCGCAAAACTACCGAATTCACTGAGCCAGTAACAATGTGGACCGATAGTACAATTGTGCTTCACTGGCTACAGTCAAGATCTAAGAGCTGGAAAGTCTTCGTTTCAAACCGTGTGGCGGAGGTTCAACGACTAACGAAAGGATTCGAGTGGAGACACGTTTCGACGAACTTCAACCCTGCTGACCGGATTTCACGAGGTACCTTGGCATGTCAAATCGTTAATGACGATCTTTGGTGGTATGGCCCCAGATTCTTGCGATACCCGAGGGAGCAATGGCCAGCATCCGTTTTTCTTGCGCCAAATGAGCAATTAGTCAACGAGGAGGCTCGCCGTGTCGTCACATTATATGTCAGCGAAGCTGATCAAGGACTATTTGACCGATATTCAGAACTCGCCAAACTCCTGAAAAGTGTCGCCTACTGCTACAGGTTCTACCACAACTGCAAGCTACCAAGAGCGCAGCGCTCGATCAACAGTTCTGATCATCTTTGCAGGACACTCCTAAGAAAATGAAATTCATCTGAAGATTAACATCGAATTTTTAATTATTCTTTAAAAAAACGAATTTATTATAGAATTATAAAAGAAAATACACTCAATTCTGTTTTTACGTGATTTTCAATTTTTCTATTTTGCCCTCAAAAAAATATTATGGAAAAATGAAAACTCCTACAAAAATGTGTTGTATGGATGACTTTTAGAAAATTGTCCAAGTTTAAAAAAAAAATGCTGAAAAAAAATCCTTTTGAAACTACACTGAAAAAAATTGATTTTTAAAATTTAAATTCGATTTATAAAAATGGCCATGTTTGATCTGGATGAAAATTTGTATCAAGATAGGTAAATATGCTTACTACCAACCGTCCATACATCACGAGATGGGCACAATGCATGTTTTATCCTGGGCACAAGCCTAAAAGTCATTCATACAACACATTTTTGTAGGAGTTGTCATTTTTCCATAATATTTTTTTGAAAAAAATCGACAGAAAAAGTTTGGCCCTTCTCAAAGGTTATTCTAGATAAATTTTGGATAAAAAACTAAGCATATGCAAAGTGGCTTATTTAGTCAAGGTCCACACATCCAGAAAGTTTCATTGAAATCTGAGAGGGTGCTGCCAGCTCCGGATACGATTTGGCACGAAATTGCGTCAGTATTTTTAACATTCCCAAAAATTGCATTTGTGACTTCCTCCACAATTTGAACATTTAAATGTCTTAGGATCTTCCTTCAGAGAAAACTCATCCTTTGCGTGAGAGGAATCTCCACAATTCATGGATTTAGCTGGCATGTAGCATTTTTTAAGGTTGTTCAGTTCACTAGAATTGAAGTGATCTAAATAAAAATCATTAGAAATCCCGTTGCGCGAATCGCCAGCACGGGATTTCATTTTCGTTTTGATTACTTGGACTGACTCAACTCCAAGTAATTTAGTGATTTCTTCTTTGATCTGATCCAGAGATTCACCACTGGATAGACCTTTCAAGACATCCTTGAACAGACGTTCAGTGTTGGCGTCGTAAGTGAAAAAAATGGTATTGCTTCTCAGTACGATATTTGAGAAGACGTTTGAATCCGTCCAAGGTTTCAGCCAATACACGACATTCCGATGGCCAATTTAAAGTGAAAACTTGAATTTAACGATGTTCAAAAGTTCCGTGCGAAGAGCATGGAAATCGGAAGTGGTTATCACAATAGGGGGGACCTTTTCTTTCTTGGCATTAAGCCGGGAAAGTTTAGTGGAATGTTGCCTGAATGAAGGATCATTCTCTAATTCGTGAGCATATCCAACTGATTGCTGACATAAATTTCATCAGAAGGGGGATCTAGTTATTGCCATTTTCTTTTGTGTTTAGGTACCATGGCGGCAGAACCAAGCTGCTCCAAATCGACTTCCAAGCAGATTAATTTAAGAATCCATTCGATCGAAGAGGAATTTCCAAAACAGGATAACCTCGGGTAGGGTCCAAACAAGGATCGAAGAGGAATAAGAATCGTACAAGGCAGAACCTTTGCGCACATAACTGAAGGGAAAGTGCAAACAAATCGATGAATCAAAAAGTGATTCGTTTTTCTGATCAACAAGTAATGTGTTGTGGTAGCGTTCCACACGGGATTTCTATGTGCACTCACACTATCATAGCATACTGCCTATCTTAACTTCAGGCAGAAGATGCCTTCTACCGCTAGGTGCGCTATAGTGTTCGCAAATGACAAGTGGAGCCACTTTCTGATTCGAAGTTCCACTCGTGTGATTTGCGGGTATTATTTATCACTGAAAAGTGCTGTTTAAATTTGTTGTAGCTTTAGGTAGTAGTAACAAGGCAAGAGAGTAGGATGCGGACTGTGAGGTGCGTGATCTGTACGGGAAGAGCTGAACTGACTAGAAATGTAGTGATGGTTTCAATATTGGATGTATAACAGATAATCGTTCAAAGGTTCAAAGTAAGATACAATGGTGGACGATTTTCATACAAACTGATCAACTTTGCCATTTTGCAACTATGTTTTGTTATGATCAATTGAGCTGAAATTTTGACACAGAAATTCAAATATGCTGAATTTTATTTGTTCGTAATATCAAATTATTGGAAGTGCTTGCCGGAAATGACGGGCTGGTTGAAAATGAATTGTAAATGTGCTATTTTATTGGCCATTTTCAAGCTGCCCGTCAATTTCCGACAAGCGCTTCTAATATTTTGATATTACGTACACGAAAAATTCAGCATATTTGTAGTTCTTTGTTAAAATTTCAGCTCAATTGATCATAAATGTTTTGCAAATGCAAAATGCCAAAGTTGGCTATAGTTTGTATGAAAATTGGCCTAATGTGCTATTTTAATGGCCACCACTGTATAGATAGAAAAAAATCTAAGTGGACCCTTTCTGCAATAGATAAGCGGTTTCCAGTTTTAATATTAGTCTTATATCAGCATTATATTGCACTTTTTGCATTAGCGAACTTGGCAGTGCGTGATGTACACTCACACCACTAAAGCATCATTGATAATATATTCACTCACACATAGAAAAAAAAGAAGAAAAAAGCAGCAAAAAATAGGCTGACGTATCGTAACATCTTAATTGAGTAATATTTTCCACCATCACGACCCGCCAGTGGTGGATAAACCAGTTTTTTGATATGGAGATTTTCGAAAAATCATCGATTTCTGTTCAAACCTTGCTTCTAGTGGTGAGAAAATATCTTCATTTTGTTCTTTTTAGTAATAGTGACATGATGTAGAAATAATTTATGGAACAAATTACACCATTATTGATATTATTAATTAAAAGTGAATTTCGCCATGCTTTCTCTAATAAAAATTGTATGGTTAATTTGCTTAACGACGTGTTCTGAGTATCATCCAAACCATTTGTTGAATAGTTCGATGATTTGGGTTATCGTTCGTTTATGGTTATTTTTTATTAGGGTTGTTAAGCAGAGGTGGTGGTGAGTGCTGTCAGAAGCAACATGCATCACATAGTTAACTAACACAACCCCAAGGATGCAAAGAGCGGGGCGATGCTCTGACACAGCACGCCTACCTCGTTGCCGAGAAGTATGCTTGTTCACAGCATCACCACGCACTTTTGACCCTTTCTGCCAGCCAATACTGAGGCTGTGTCCCATTTGCCGGGTTAAATTTAAATCGTAGTTCTTTGAAAATGACAGATAGAAAGTTATCGAATAACCCTGATATCCGAGCGTGGTTATTTTTGACAGCCAAACGGTTAGATTTTGACAACTGATCCATGGGGATGTTCTGGAGCTTGCCGTATTGTGGGTACTTGGTAGTTTCAAAGAAAACGGAGCCGTCCGAAGACTTGTACACAAAGCCACTGGATAGCAGCCTTTGTATGAATGCAGTGATGGCGGGAATGTGATCCGTAACTCGTAGTTTTACATCCGGAGATCGAACGTTCAGTCGTTTCAGATCGCTCCAGAATTCCTGTTCGTAATGGCGTGCAATATCCATCCAGGGTTGACCGGATTCGTTGGCTCGCTTGATGATTTTATCATCGATGTCGGTAATGTTCATGGCGGTCACAAGGTTCATCCGAAAGTGGTCTTTTAAAATGCGTTGAACGATGTCCAGCCGGACGTAGCAGCTGGCGTGACCGATGTGAGCCGAATCGTACACCGTTGGACCGCAGGTGTAGAAGGATGTGACCCAGCAGGCAGATGGCAGTTGCAGGGGGACCTTTTCCCGAGTTCGACAGGAGTAGATT